GAAAATGCCTCTATTTGTAGAAACTTTTACATTTTTTAGAAAATTTCTAGCAATTCTATTTGTTTGTTTTTCAAATATTTCTGGGGTATTTTTAGAGTATTTTATTAGTTGCTAATTTCCATAGTTCCATTTTTTATTTTGTTAAATATTTCATAGTTTATATTCTATATCTGATTATTCTACTACTGAAAGTTTTGGAGGATGTAAATCTCTATCTCTTCCTCTCTCTTTCCCTCCCTACCCCTTTTCTCATAACTCACGCTTCCTTATGTTTTCAGTGATCTTTCTGAGCTTGTGCCTGGTTAATATTCATCTGTGGGAATCTTGAGTATCCAATGCCGGGAACGCTTTCCTCCAGAGTTGAGGGGGATTTCCTCTTCACAGGCCCTTGCTTTAAGGTGGGAATCCCACATCCAGGTGCTCACTGTGCTGCTGGCCTGAGATTCTGTCCCTGTCCACTGCCGTGCTGAGATTAGCATTGGCCCTTTGGCCAAACCCACTTTAATTGCTCTTATTTGCCACTTACTTTTGGCTGTTCAAGTTTCAGCTCACTTTCTGTCCTATACTTCAATTTCAAAAGTGAATTTGCGGCTTAGGAAAAACCTTCTCCTTGTTCATTGATGAATGAGACTGTTTGGCTGTCATGAGCCTCCTTTGCCACAACAAAAATTCTGCTCCAACAGTGCCCTCATATGCTGCCGTAACTGATCAAAGTGTGACATTTTATTTGGCACATGTGGTTTTGCAGACCTAGGTCATCATAAAGAGTCACGACTTGTCTGAAGTTAAAAGTTCAAAGAGAGTTGTGATCTGATGTCAGTATCACTTCATTGATACTGATTAAAGTCTCCTTTGAGAGAAAAAGGAGGAAAAAAAAGCAAACGGCAGGGGAAAATGAGAACACCTAGTGGGCTGGAATGGGCCTGGTTTTTCTGTTGTCTACAGCAGATACAGGCAGTGTCCCCAGTAGCCCCGGGGAGGCCGCCTTGAGTGTCTCACTACTTCTTGGAGCCTCACTTTCCCCTTGGTGCCCGGGCATCACCTCTGTCTATTCTCTGTCCCCCCAGGAGGGTGCAGGAGGGTAGAGGAGTCCGGCCCTTCCAGGCCATGCCCCAGCAGAGTCAACACGCCTCACCTTTGCATAGTGTTCTAATGTCTGTGAGGCACAAGGCCTGCTCACCCCAGAGGCCAACTCTGCCCACCCTGGGAAAGTAGCCGTGCCGCAGGTCAAGGACTGTCTCAAAACCAGTTAGGACAGCTTCTCAGCATCATCTCAAGCTCAAGCCCTGGAAATCTCAGGCTTTGCAATAGCAAAACACAAATCTGTTAACTTACTCCTCCCAAGACAATTACTGGGAAAAAATATTAAAGGCTTCTGTGAACAGCCTGAGGCCAGTTGACCCTAAAGGCGGAAGGCAACAAACCAGACAGGAGTCGGGAGCCTGCCTGTGTGCACGCCCTCTCTGGGTGTCTGTGGAGCCATAAGCTTGGGTGGATGTGCTGATGCCACCACCAGGACAAATCTCTCAGTAACAAGACACAGCCAAGAGGAGGAGCAAGGCTTCCAAATCAGTTTGTCTCCTATGTTAAATTAAAAATAGCCTGGTCCAGGATCTGCCTGCAGCCAGCAGATACTTCACAGTTGCTGGTGGTTAATGTCATGAGCCTTCTGGTCTTTGCCACCTACAGATGCTGGGCCTGTGGGTTTCCTTTCCCTGCTCTTGTTTCTTGCCACCTGCCACAGGGGGCTACTCAGGCTGCGTGTCCATGGTCAGTCCCTGTACCTTCCAGTTACCTGGCCGGGAGCTGGCCGGGACTGCTTGGTGGAGCACAGGAAGAGAGGGGATCGCCTGCAGAACCTGGCCTCTTGAGGAGCCTCAAGGAAGTGGGGCCTTTGCAGAAACTCCTTGTTCAAAAGCAAAGAGCACTCTCTGTTTCCTCTGGGTTGCTCTCTGTTTCCTCCTGGTACCAGCTCTCTTTATATACTGTTTTTATTGTGAAATATAAAACACAGAAGAGTGTATAACTAAATAGGTACAACTTAATGAATGATTATCAAGCAAACACAACCCAGTCAAGAAATAAAATGCACCCGGCATTGCCAGAGCCCCTCCGCCCTCACGCACTCACAGCCGTCTGCCTGGCTGGCCTCCCGGGAGGCACCACCTCCTGAACTCTTGTGTTCATCACGCCCTGGCTTTTTTTGTTGTTATTTTTCATGTGTTTGTTTTTTTAGTTTTACCACCTAGGTGTACCTCACTAAATAAAACAGGTGGCTTTTGTCTGTTTGGGGACTTTGTGTATATGGAAGTATGGAGTGTGTTTTATGTTTGTGAGATTCATCTGTGCTTTGTATAGCTACCATTGGCTCATTTTCTTGCTTTATAATATTGTATTGTGTGAATTCTTACAATGTACTTGCTCTGTGGTCAGTGAACACTTAGGTTATGTGCAGTTTTTGATAAGCACAGATGAAGCTGCTGTAAGTAGCCCTGTAGTGTATGGTGCACACATTTCGTACACCTAGGGGTGGAATTGCTCATTCATGAGGGCTGTGAATGAATAGGTTCAGTTTCAGGAGACTGTCCCAAATTGTTTTCCAAAGTGGGTAAGCCATTTATGTTCCCACAAACAACGTAGGAGGGGCCTTGCCGCTCCCTACTCTCAGTAGCACTTAGAACGATCTTTCTAACTTCCATCAGTCTGAAGAGCGTGGAATGGTACTTTCCTGTGGTCTTCATTCGTATTTGCCAGATGCCTAATGAGGTAGATGGCATCATCTATCTGTACTTGTCTGTCTCAGTTTTTAACAAGAAAATGTCAATCAAGACATAGGGCAAGATGGAGTACAGCAGATTGGACATGGATTCAGAAACCAGAGTTCAGAACCCATTTGTTACTACTATCTGTTTTTTGTAGATATGGAGTCTCACTCTGTTGCCCAGGCTAGAGTGCCATGGTGCAGTCTTGACTCACTGCAGCTTTGACCTCCTGGGCTCAAGTAATCCTCCTGCCTTGGCCTCCCAAAGTACTAGGATTACAGGTGTGTGCCACTGCACCTGGTTCAGATCCCATGTATTATCTCCATGACCTCGAGGTCACAGATGTAAAAGATTAAATTATAGGAAATACTTTGGAGTGGCATATTGTCACCATTCTTTCAAGGCCAACTTTTATAGGTATATGCATCCACTCTTACTGCTGCGGTATTTGGATAGCTCTTTACACTCTCAAACTATAAGCCACAGATGTGTATTGAATAAACATAAATAGTCTCGCTTTATAAGATAGCCTCCCTATAAAACAGACTCAGTTCTCCCTTTATATAAAAAGATGACAGTATGGTTTTTTGTTGTGTTGTGTTGTGTTGTGTTGTATTTAACCGTCACTAACTGCTGGCTGTAATCAGCCATGTGGCTGTGAAAAGAGAGCTCACACCTTGGGTGCTGACGACTTGGTTGGTTTGGGAGGAAGAGGCTGTTCTCACAGTGAGAAGGTTTCAGCACAGCCACCTGCTGAGACCACAGAGAACCTGGATGTGTGTCCTGCACCCTGGCCAGCTGCCCTGAGCTGTGGGGCGCTGTGCACAGCCAAGCACTGCTAGAAAAGACACTTATTCTGAAATTCACTCCTCCCATGCCGTCATTCAGCTTTCAAGCCTTGGGTTAGCTTTTTGAGATGAATCTCCATGGCAAGGGAGAGGAAAGCGTGGCCATGTCCAGTTCTGAAGGCCATCTCAGCTCTCTCTGTGGCCATGTATCTGACCTCTTGCAACCAAGAGGAGGCATCAGAAATTTCCCCAGTACCCAGATGTCCCAAGGCAGCTGGGCACCCTTGAACTCTGCCCCAAGTACAGTGCATTTGGGCATGCGGCTTAACAATTTTGGACCTCAGCTTCCTCATTTTAGAAAGTGCAGGGGCCAAAGGGGCTTCCTGGGACTTCATGACTCACCCTCAGAACCTAGGATCTCATGATCCAAAGGGCTGCAGCTGTGGAGAGAGGAGAATGGGACTGTGGGTGTCACAACGAAGCTAAACTGTGGGATTCGCACCCATTTTGTACCTTTTCAGTCTCCACCGGGACCTCGAACTCCCCAAGTCCTATAGGTCTTCCAGGGGATCTCTCACCTCCCCGTGAGTCGTGAGCCTCGCGTCGCATGCACTGCAGTGGGAGTGTTGTTCCCTGCCTGGCATCAGACTCCCGCGTCTCTGTTCACCAGGACCCAGGGCAGGGGGTGGTCCTGAGGGTCGCCCAGCATGACCATGAAGACAGAGCCCTGGCTGCTCAGCACGGCCAGCACAGCTCTGGTTTCACCTCTGTCTCTTCACCCCACAGTGGATGTCATTTTCTTGTACTGGGATTGTTACCCGACAATATCATCATTTGAAAGTGTTCAAAGTCCAGCCCTGCCTCCCTTTCCTGCAGTGGGAGCGTGGGAGGGAGTGAGGAAGGCCCGGGGGATGGAAGCTTCCATATCCTTCCATCTCTGGTCCAGAAGATGGCTGGTTAAAATGCCCACCAAACACCCCCGCCCACACTGCAAGCTGGGTGGTGGAGCTGTCCATCTTGGATCTGACCCAAATGCAGGCCCTGGTGAAGAAAGGTGAGTCCATTGGGCTCTACAATAATCAGGGCCCATGGAGCGCCCGTGCTTATCGCCCTGAGCAGCATCACTGCTACCAAGCACCAGGCTCTCCTGACCACTGTCCAGAGCTCCTGGGCCCTGCTAGAGCTTAGCCATGGTCCATTCATCACCAACCTGCTAGCATTTCCTTGTTGCAAGCTCGCCCACTGGCATCATCCCTGAGTGGTAAACTGGGCCTTCCTGGGTTGGGCAAAGCCCTTGACCCTGAGGCTCGAGACTCTGCCCTCCGGCTGCCTTGCCGGGTGACAGGCCCCAGGGAGCGGCTGCTGACCGCTCAGGCCAGGGTGCTTCCTCCCAGGTCCCACCTGGGGACTGGCAGGCCTGGGGATGATGCAACTCCATCCTCTCTTCTAGGATCCGAGCCAGAGACAACAACGGCTCCTACGCCCTGTGCCTGCTGCATGAAGGGAAGGTGCTGCACTATCGCATTGACAAAGACAAGACAGGGAAGCTCTCCATCCCCGAGGGAAAGAAGTTCGACACGCTCTGGCAGGTACCCGGCCTCCTCTCCTCACCTTGTGGGTAGAGTACAGGGCACGTGGGGCTTCTTGTCCCATGGACTCTGAGACATAAGAGGAACCGAACCACCCACTGCCCACAGTGTGGTCCCCAGGCCAGCAGCAGCCCTGGAGCTCATGAGAAATGCACACCTGGATCCACACCTGGGCCCCTGCCCCACCTGCCCATCAGACCCCACTTTCAGCCTCCAGGTGGCTTCTGTGTTTGAGAAGCACTGGTCCAGAGGCTGTCATGTGAGATAAGCGAAAGTTCCATCGCTTGTTCAGGGCTGCTCAGTCCTCAGTGCCACAAGGTGATGTACGTGCAGGGCTGTGTTCAGAGTTTAACAAGACATCCTCTTTTGGAGAGCTAGAAAATATTTCTTCCTAGATTCTAACTAGAGCCCAGAACAGCCTTTCAGACAAAGACACACAAAATAGAGGAATGGATGTCCGGGGAAGGAGGCCTGGGAAGAGCTAAGCAGGCCTTTGTTGGTGGTGTGAGAGGCTGAATTAGACAGCAAATGTCAGGAGTCCTCCTCATTGTAAATCGAGTCTCCCTGTGTGGAAACTAAGGCGGTGTAGGAAGCACATCCTAAATTTAGAAAGCGTACTCCCCGGGCTCCAGGCTGCTGCTCATACTGATTGCCACAGTCCTGGTCTAAAAAGTGCATATTCCTGACCCAGCTACTAGCAAACTCTGAAACAACTCACAATTTGGAAGTTCCTTAGGCACTAATAAACACTAAAATAATGCTTGTCACTGCTTTCCCTGAATCGCAGTGAGCACAGATTGCTTGTCTTAATTTTGCATCACAGCTACACTGGCTGATGATGAAGGAAATAAAAGTAACAGTACTTCACGCATCATCTTAGCAGAGCATCCTGTAAACTGTAGTAGGTTCAGAGACACGGAGAAAGCCAACTGACTCTGCCACCACCCCACCACCCCAGGGCACCAACTACCTCGAACATGTGTGGGTGAGGGGCATAATCAAGGCGCATTCGGATGTCCTCACCCAAGCCCAGCTGGGGCCACACATGCAGTCAATATTGAGGAAAGGACTCAACTCAAAATCCTGTCTTTTCAAAAACTGAGACTACAGAGCCTTAGCCCCTTTAAAGCACTTAAAGTTACTACTTCCAAATGTGATTTGGTTTCTAGTGCTGTAATTGGGGGAAAAAATACTCCTTTTTTGAATGTGGATATGATCATATTAAAAAATGTTAGTCACAACATTTACATTGTCTTTTGATTTTGTGGCTCATTGCCATGTCTCATCATTGACCACAGACTTCTTTCTTTTAACGCTATTGATTCGAAACAGTATTTAACCTTTCTACCCTCAATGCCCCAAAGTGCATCAGGGAGGTGAGTAGGGAGTGTGGCCTTCTGGAATGCAAGGACACCTGGAGTCCTCTATGCCAGCTTAATGCTCCAAGGTCCCAGGCCCCATCACTTATAAACAGCCATTCATTCACCTTCTCCGGAAAGGGCATCTTGTGTGTGTGGCGTTCTCTCACAGTTTCAAAGGCCAAGCACTCACCATGGTGTTAAGCATCTCTAATTATGGAGAATGTCCTTCCCAAGACTCTTTACTATTTTTATTGATTCTCCTGGTAGATCATAGCATTCATCCCTAATTAAATATTCCTCATGGTATATTTTCTAGGGACTGTGTTTAGGAAACTACCTCAAAAATGCCAGCAATACATTCTAGTTTCCCATGCATGATTTCATTGATTTTTCTTGACAGCATTGTAAGGTACTTCTGTACCCTACCCCAACTCCAGGGCCCCAGTGCCATTTCGCAGAGAGTTGGTGATTGCTATACTACCCTATTTCAATATTCTTTACTGTAGACCAGGGATCTGTAAACCCACAGACCAAATCTGGCTCTCAGCTTGTTTCTGTGTAGTCCTTGAAAAGAATGGTTTTATGCTTTTAAAGGTGTTGTTTTGGATAAATAAATAAGTAAACAAAGGACACAGATATGGTATGAGGCCCACAAAACCCGAAAATACCACTTTCTGTTTACAAAAAAAATTTGCTGCCCCTAGCCCAAGAGGGAGGATGCCTAGCTGCGGGCCCACTTCCCCAGCCACCCTTGTGGAGTGGACTTACGCACATCAAAGCATTTACACGTCTTGGGGCCACTTTGAAAGCCCAACAGTCAGTCAGCAGCTCTCAGTCGCTATTTCTCTGTTTCCTGATCTTGTTATTTACCACACTTTTTTACTCTTTTCTCTTTCAGCTCGTCGAGCATTATTCTTATAAAGCAGATGGTTTGTTAAGAGTTCTTACTGTCCCGTGTCAAAAAATCGGCACACAGGGTGAGTTCCCGAGACACCGGAGTCTCACTGTTTGGGGAATCAGTGACAATCAGCCTCGTTTTCGACATAGCTGATTGCAGTTTCGGGTTGGATGAGGACTTCTTTTTACGGATTGATTAATAACGTTATCAGAGCACTCCAATTTTGTAGATCATGTATCAAAAAACAGCCGGTTGCTTTAACTTTTAAAAAAATTGTAATTATTTGTCTTAATTGCATGCGGGAAAAAGTAAAAGAGGGTCAGAAGTACTGCAGAAACCGTGCTCACTTCTCAAGCAGAAGCACATCCTGATCTCATTGACTGATCTGCGGGGGGTGGGGGGAAAGGAAGTGGTTTCCACAGATAAGAGTAGTAATGGTCCATGTTCTCTCTAACCAGGAAATGTTAATTTTGGAGGTCGTCCACAACTTCCAGGTTCCCATCCTGCGGTAAGTGTCACTAGGAATACCACTGAATGAGAAACTGTTGCATATTTCACAAATGAAAAGCATGTTTTAGCTAACAGGAGTAGTGGTCACTGATATTTTGATTGCCCTTCAAAACATTTTCCTTGATGAGCTGGAATTTCTAGTGAGTGTTAGGCACAATCAGCCTACTGTTAGTGATAAACTAGCCACATTTTCTTTTCTTTCTTTTTTTTTTTTTTTTTTGGAGGCAGAGTCTCACTCTGTCACCCTGACTAGAGTGCAGTGGTGCAATCATGGCTCACTGCAACCTCTGCCTCCTGGGTTCAAGCCATTCTCATGCCCCAGCCTCCCGAGTAGCTGGGATTACAAGTGCCTGCCACACCTGGCTACTTTTTGTATTTTTAAGTAGAGACGGGGTTTTGCCATGTTGGTCAGGCTGTTCTCAAATTCCTGGCCTCAAGTTATTCTCCTACTTCAACCTCCCAAAGTGCTGGGATTACAGGCATGAGCCACTACACCCTGCCTAGTCACATTTTCTTAACTTCTTGTCTAGGTGAAATTCTCTTCATTTTTGGAGAATATACACAATGCGAATGAAACCCAATATTAAATCAGAAGTAGGCCTCTTGCAATATTTGAGAAATGGGAACATATTTTTTAACTTCATCCTTGAGCCATCTATGTTAACACACGTATAATCCACAGGACCCCAGCTCTCTCCTCCCTCCAGCCTGTTAGGAGGTCAGGTACAGATTTACGCTCTAAGCAGGAATTCTTTTCCTGATCTTTTCTTGGGGAATTCATATGGACTTTTTTTTTTCTTTTTCTTTTTCTTTTTGATATGGAGTCTAGCTCTGTCTCCCAGGCTGGAGTGTGGTGGCACAATCTCTGCTCACTGCAAGATTGTGGTGGCACAATCTCTGCTCTGCCTCCCAGGTTCACGCCATTCTCCTGCCTCAGCCTCCCGAATAGCTGGGACTACAGGCACCTGCCACCATGCCTGGCTAATTTTTTTGTATTTTTAGTAGAGACAGGGTTTCACCATGTTAGCCAGGATGGTCTCGATCTCCTGACCTCGTGATCCGCCCACCTCAGCCTCCCAAAGTGCTGGGATTACAGGCGTGAGTCCAGCCTATATGGACTTTTTATGCCCTTTAATGCCATCTGTGAAGTGTGCCCTCTGCACCTCACTTTTTGCCTAGTAACCCTTGAAAAACAAAATCTGCAGAAAGCCAAATACACATCCTGCCTCCAGTAGGGACAATTGGCTGCCCAGGAGCTGAGCCCAGGGTGAAACAGGGAAGGCCATCCAGAGGCAGCACTTGTTATCAAATGCAGGGAACATGAATTTGCTAAAATACCAGTGAACTTTGGGATCAAAATGTAATGCCTTTATGGAGGTGTGACTTTATTTTGCCCTTTACAGGGCTCTCAGGCCTGGCAACTCTACCTTAATATTACAGGCTCCATGAGACAGATCCATACACCCTTCAGATGGATGAGGGCTTAGGGCTGAGATCTCTTAAAATAATGTCAAGCCCTGTGTTTAGCCATCATCACCCAATGGCTACAAGAAGTTAAATATTTTGGAATAACTTTTTAATTGACTGGTAAAATACGTATGGAGAAAAAATGCAGAGGTCCTACATGTACAACTCAATTAATTTCCACAAAAATTTTCCACCATGGAACCCGCACCCACCAAGAAGAAGCAACACAACTGAGCACTCAGATCTACTTGTGGTTTCTTTCGGGTGGTTTGTCTTGAGCTTGCGACTTAATAATTCCACATGAAGCATGAGCTAGTAAATGTAACAGCTCTAATTTTGTAGCCTTCAGTGGAATATATCTCCCAAATATATTTCTAGATCCTTCTCCCCAAGTGGTAGGCCCTTCCAGAAGCCTTCCCAATGATCAGGTGTTACCCGTGGTAGATCTCATTGGCGGGGGCAGGAGGGGGTTAGTGGTGCGATTACAGAAGCAAGTTTAAGTAGCATGTCATGGAAGGGATCCTGTATTTGTCTTCTGAAACATTTACTGTTCCTCTTTGCCGTTGTGGTTTCTAGACTTGGTCAGCGGGTGGAATAATCTCAAGAATCAAATCATACTCCTTCCCAAAGCCTGGCCACAGAAAGGTGCTAAAGCATCCCCTGCTTGCTGTCCAACTAAGTGGTAGGACCAACCCGCACTCAGCTCCCGCCCGCCCAGCCTGCCCTGCGTGTGCGCTGCCCCCTACCTCTTGCCACTCTGCTTCCAGGCCTCTTTGCCCTTGCTCACACCTGCCATTCCTGGGCAGCCGCACCCCAGGTACATCATGTGCTTTTCGTGTGGGTCCTCAGTCCGTCAGCTGGAAGTCCATCAGTGTGAGCATGCTTTCTGTGCTCAAGTGTCTTTTTAAAGTCGTTTCAGTTGGCGTCATCTGTCATAGCTAATTATCATGTCGGAAAATCTTTTCTAAGATGGCCCACTTACTTTTCGGTGGCCAGACTCCCGTGTTGCAGTGTTCTGGTAATTGATTATGTAAGTTACGTTGTGATGGAGAGAACGCCCGGGTTTTGTGAGGTGCGCTGCACAGTGAGGTCAGGCAGCGCGTGGTGACTTCCTTATGGCTTAAACGTCTAACACAGAACTGCAAATGTGACATGTAAAGAAGAGGTGTAATCTGAGGACTAGAAAAAACAGTTTTCTTTTTGAGGCAGTAATGTTGACATCTCATTGATTTCCATGTTTTGCTCTATTATTGGATTTTGAGGGAAAATAAAAATAAGTTCTTTTTAATGACTTATAATGACTCATGTGTTCCTTCCCCCAAAATATGTATATATGATGTGCTTGAATTGCTTTTTTTCCATTCTACTTTTATTATCAGTGGGGTAAAATTGATTCTTTTTGTCAGAAATTCTTTTTGTTTTCATATTAATTTGTGTTTTTACCGATATTTTAGCATATAATTGAGCATCCACTCATGAAGTAGATTGCCTAAAGTATTTATTAGAAACAACAGAAGTAAAAGACATAAACCCCTGAGGTTTTATTTAGTAATAATTTTCCAAGTTTACTCATACTCAAGAAGTTCTCAATCATGTTGACCATAGAACAGAACGATTTAATGCAGTGTTTGAGAGGAAGAAAAGGTGTATTTTACACCTGAATAAAATAACTATGTCTGTTTTTCATGTTTACCCAAAAGGCAAAACACCCCCACAGATTACTCACAGTGGCAAAGAAATACCTAGAAAATAAGTTTTAGTGCATCTTTAAACTACAGGAGAACATGTCAGAAAAAAATTGAAGAAAATATTAGTTACCACCTAAAAATAAAGAAATATGTGTGTAGATAAGAACTATAACATCATCAAAAGAGAAATGAGAAACTGGGAATAAGTAGCGCTAATGCTGACACATGGATTAATAGCTTTAATATACAAAGAGATTCTATAAATCATTAAGAAAAATATTAACTGTCTACTAGGATAATGGGCAGGGAATATCAGTAGTAGTTTATAGTAAAGCAAATATAAATAGTTCTTTTTTTTGTTTTTTTTTGTTGTTGTTGTTGTTGTTTGTTTGTTTCTTTTTTGAGATGGCTGTTGCCCAGGCTAGAGTGCAGTGGTGCCATCTCGGCTCACTGCAAGCTCCGCCTCCCGGGTTCATGCCATTCTCCTGCCTCAGTCTCCCGAGTAGCTGGGACTACAGGCACCCACCACCACACCCGGCTAATTTTTTGTATTTTTTAGTAGAGACAGGGTTTCACCACGTTAGCCAGGATGGTCTCGATCTCCTGACCTTGGGATCCACCTGTCTCAGCCTCCCAAAGTGCTGAGATTACGGGCGTGAGCCACTGCACCCGGCCATAAATAGTTTTTAAACATATGAAATGTTGTTTAACTTCATGAGAAGAGAAATGCAAGTTAAAACTATGGTGCTTAACTGTGTCCACCTATGAAACGGATCCACATTTTAAAAGCTTGGTAACACTGTAGTAAAGGCGTGGTAGATTAGCACTCCTACTCTTCCTTGGGGAAGTCTGAAATCATGCAATCTGTAAGAAAGGCTCTGCAATTGTATTTCTAAGTATGTACAGATATTCTTGCATTTATGTGAAATCATGTACATGTGAAGGTGTTTTTCCCAAAACTGTATAATTGACAAAGTCTGATAATAATTTAAATGCTTATCGATGGAAGACAAATGAAATTAGTTACAGTAAAATTGCTACCGTGGGAGACAACTGAGATCTAGAATTGTTTTCAAAATATAATGTTAACTGTAAAAGACAATGTCATGCACACACACACATACACACATATATACAGAATGTGTTGGTATCGTATAGAGTATCCTAGAAAAATACAGAAAATACTGGCAATGCTGGTTGCCTCTGGAGTAAGAGATGGGAATGTTAAGAAATTCCACTTTTTGTTGTAAATTCTGTTGTATCTTTTTAAATTTGAGCCTGTTAAAAAATTTTAATCAATTTTTTAAAACAATTAAATAGTAGAACATAATTAATCTTATTAATATTGTGAAAATACCTTTCTGGCAAAAAAAAAAAAGTTTGGTTTCTATTTAAGTTTATAAGAACATTAAAGTATACATTGAATTTTTTATAGAAGTAAGAAACTGGGAATAAGTATTACTAATGATGACACATATATAGTGCCAAAAATATCAAGAGATAATTTTTAAAAGATCAAGGTTGTATAGGTTAAGCTATAGACTAAAAATATTTTAATTGCTTATCAGAAATATTTTAGAGCTAATATGTATATTTTCACAAACACATGGGGAACTTTCCATTATGTAATCCGTCACGAGAAAAGATTGTGAGAATTATGTCAAATGTCCCATCATGTTAGCTAAGAGATAAATAACTTTCTTGAACTTGTTAATTTGCTCAGCATAAATAGTTGTTTTAATAATTCAGGCACAAAAAATATATGTTAGAACTTGAATTACCTATAGCATCTAGATAGTTAATGAAAAGTATGTTTCGATTTGAAGATGATTGTCAATCAGATAATTGAAATGTTTCATAAAATTACTAACAGGCTGATGCATTTTAAACTTGTCTTTAGAAATTAGTAGCATACTTCCAAGCACAGTGGCTCACGCCTGTAATCCCAGCCCTTTGGGAGGCCGAGGCAGGTGGATCACTTGAGGTCAAGATGAGCCTGGCCAATATGGTGAAAACTCGTCTCTATTACAAATACAAAAATTAGCCAGGCATAGTGGCACACACTTATACTCCCAGCTACTCAGGAGGCTGAAGCAGGAAAATCACTTAAGCCTGGGAGGCGGAGATTGCAGAGATCGTGCCACTGCACTCCAGCCTGGGCAACAGAGTAAGACTCTGAAAAAGAAAAGAGAAAAGAAATTAGTAACATGCTTATACAATATAAACAAAATTAATTTAAGAATACAACTAGTAGTCTTTAAATGAATTAAACCCCTCCCAGTATTAGTCCTGGAATTTCTTTCTCTGCTGCTTTAAGCACAGAACCTTATCCTTCTTTTATGGAAAATAGGTGGAAATTGAACAGCAGCATCCCTAAAGACTTCCAGGGAACTTTTCAGCTTTGCATTTCAAAGGCACATCCCCTAAGAGAATTAAACTGAAATGTGTCCCAGAATTCCAATTAAAACCCATTTTTCATGTTTTATTCCAACACATACATTGGTGATTATAATATTTTAAAACTTACATTTAAGTACAGGGCTCAGTGGGAAGAGAAAAAAGAAAGAAACATCCTGAAGTCATAGTCTTTTGCTTGGTAATGCCTTAGTAGACTAGACCCTTGAGAAAATGTGTTTTCATATAATTAGAAAGGAACAGACTTTAGATCTTCGCTGTAAGAGAAGAGTAATTGCAGAGGTCAGTGTTTTTTTCATGGATCTCAGAGCAAGGCTGATAGTAGCCTATTTCCTGGCCAACAGTCTGCCCTCGCCTGTGGGGGGTCTACTGAACCAGGGTAATTCCTCCAAAAAAAGGAAACCACACCTAGTTTATTGCAGCCAATATTCTAAAGTCAACTGGCTCTTTTGTCACTATTATTGTGATGACTGATGACTGTATTGTCATCTGCATTACTGCTATTGCCTAATTTGAAAATGGCCCAAGAATCTAGGAGTAAAAATTAAGATCTAGTAAATGGATGTTAGGACACTTGGCAATACTCTGGAATCAGGAAACTCTGCATGGGCCTGTCAGTTCCATAGACCAATAATTTTTTCCTCTTTTGTTCACTTTTGGATCCCCAGCTTTTAAACATAGGCACTCAAAGAATACTTGTGAAGTACATTTTCTATTTGCAATTAAACCTTACCAATAGGAAATCAGGGATAATAATTTATAACTAGACTTATTATTGCAGAGTGATGTCATTACCTGAATTTATAAAATTTAAGGAAAAATCACCAGTTGTTCTTTCGGAAGGTAGAAAGCTAAGGTGGCTCATGCCATCTAGTGGTGGACTGTGGATTTGAGCCTGTTCTGAGTATTGGCGAAAATGAAGAAAATGGAAAGGTCATCGTTTCATTTACACCTTGTTGCTCACCGTGCAGAACAGATGACACTTACTGATTAGGACAGAATGGATCTCTCAAATACAAACATAAAGAATAAAAGGCTAATAATAATGTAGACTGGAAATACATTTTTTATTAAAATTAAATGTCATTACTTTTTTAAAATAATATTTGTACAACTTATCGTTATGCCACTGTGCTCATTCTTTACAAACTCCTCAAATTTTTCTTTTTTCTTTTTTTTTTTTTTTTTTTTTGAGATGGAGTCTCGCTGTGTCTCCCAGGCTGGAGTGCAGTGGCATGATCTCGGCTCACTGCAAGCTCCACCTCTCAGGATCACGCCATTCTCCTACCTCAGCCTCCCGAGTAGCTGGGACTACAGGCGCCCACCACCACGCCCAGCTAATTGTTTGTATTTTTAGTAGAGACAGGGTGTCACCATGTTAGCCAGGATGGTCTCGATCTCCTGACCTTGTGATCCACCTGCCTCGGCCTCCCAAAGTGCTGGGATTATAGGCGTGAGCCACCACGCCCAGCCTAAATTTTTCTTTTTAACTGAGCATTTTCTTTTAGAGGTTATTTTAGTTACTGTTCTACTAAGTGGCATATCCACCAAGTGCTTTGGGAAAGATGAAACGTGGATTTTGCATCATCTTTATCATAAAATAACTACTGTTCTTTTAACTGACTCAATAGGAAACCTCCCATTTCTTCCACATTCTTCCAATTGTGGCATCATTCTTTGTTCCAGTCCTGTGAGTCACCAGAAAGCGATAGGGGCAGGGAGCCCAGGGATCTGGGTAGGAGAGAGTTGATGTGGGGTTATTGAGAGTCGTGAGGGTTCTTTGTGACTTGGCTTAAAAGGCTCATCATCACATAGTGGTCTGTGCTGGGCAGCATGGAAATGAAGCCCCAAGCTTCCTTGGCTATAAACATGGAGTTCTAACTTCCAAGGAAGATCTCCCATCTCTTTCCCTATCCATAAGCCAAGATAGACTAGGGCTGAACAACACACTACTAGTGAGGGTATAAATTATTCATGCCCAGGGGTTTAGATTCTCTGTGTCCATCGCCACTAATTCTTACTCATTCCTGACACCTTAGTATCCCTTTCAGCATATTTTGACAACCCCATCTCTGTTGTAAAATTCTTCCCTGCGGGATTCGTATGTCAGGGAATTGCATTCTGGTTTAATTGGAACAAGCCATTTGGAAGTCCTCCTGGTCTGGAGAACATTCTGTGAGTGTAGAGAGGCTGCAACCCCAGGATAATGCCCTCAGTGGGAGGGACAGGAGGTCTTACGTCAAGAAGGGGTGATGCTCCCTCTCATCGCCTGTGATGGCTAGTCTGAGGACATCCTTTAATGCCATGTCTGTTCAAGTTTTGTCTTTGGATCTCAGAATGTGCCTGCCTGCAAGGAAAATCAAAGGAGTTGAAATGACAGTAAATGTTAACCCTGAAAGAGGCTTTAAAAAAAAAAAAACACAAAAACTATTTTCAGCCTAGAATTGGTTGCGGGAGGGAGAGAACTGGGCAAAAAAGAAGGCTGGAAAGCCTAGGGAATCACCCAGTTTCTGTCACTCAGTTTGCACCCTGGGCTGCAGAAAAAGGTGAGACTTGCTTTCATTCAAGGACATTCACAGAGTGAAGCGCGTGGTCACTTGTAAGTTTGTAGAGTTGGTTCCCGAATCCACCCCATGTCCGTGATTTCAGTGCAGCCACAGTTAGCCATGGAGACACTCACATCTAGTGGCAGGCAGCAGGCACCACGTGCCCATGAGTGGTGGTGTTGCTATTGAATGAAATGGTCTTTCCCACCTCCCTCACCCAGCTTTCCAGAGGCAGGGTAATTGTATTACAAATCAGAAGTGAAACACAGCACAGTCCTGTAATCATACGTAAATGTTTTAAAAAAAATAGACTGTCGTTTGGAATTATTCATTCTTATTTCTCTTCATTAGCATAAAGGCTTGAGAGAGAGCTAATTTTTAAAGCACATTAGTTTATACTTCACATCTTCTAGTTTTTAGAAGTTATTTTCATTCATTCGCCCATCCATTCATTCGTGTGTTTGTTCAACACATTTTTATTGAGCGTCCTTGTGGATGTGGCACAGTCCCCAATGTGGTGAATAAATGTCTCCCCCACCTTGAACTTATATTCTATTTTTATTCTGATGTATCATAGTTACTTCTGTTAATCAGTTCAGTAAGAATACTGAGATAGTCTGTGAGAAAATGGATCCCGTCGACATCATTTTTACAGATAAGACCAGATGTCCTTTAGCCTCGTCAATGGGCTTGGGCCATGGTGAGCAATGCCTGCCTCTGCAGTACTCAGCAGACCGCGTGAAAGAAGAAAGTCTGGGTGTTTGGAAACAATGGCTGAGTGGCGGTAGTGGTGCATTGTGACCTCATTATTCTGCTTTTGGTTTCTGGCCTTGTAATATTAATAAGGCACATGAGGATTTAGTGTGTACCATGAGATAAGTGACTGTCGTGTTAAGCTTAATGTCTCTGTTTCTTTAACTTTCTCCAAAATCTGGCAGTATCTCATTTCTTCGTGGCCAGTGTTTGGACACTGAAGAGGTCAATCGATACATAGAATTGTGACTCAACTCACACTGAAAAAAAAAAAAAAAAAAAAAAGCATCTGAATCATGGTTCTCCTGTGAATTAAACTTAGTAGCAAGAATCTTGTTTTAATTTGGAAAAAAGGGTGGGTCAGGAAAACTCAAGACAGAGACTTTCAAAAGGGAAAGTCCTTAGGATAATGAGTAGATTTCCCTCCACCCAGTTGTTTCATGATATAAACTGATGTGGATCAAATAATAGGGAAGGTTGCTGTTAACAGGCTGCATAACTTTGTCTCAGGTATGCCTCTATTACCTGCTGTGGGCATCAGGAAGAATTGCCTTCCTTCAGCTGCACAAAGAGGAGCCCCCCTCTCACAGGGGTACTGATTTCCAGAAGCAGCCGTGGCCTCAAGAGCGTTGCTGGCCTAGGTGGCAGCAACTGGCCCTCCCTTGGGACCTGTAGTCACTGACCAGTGCCACCCTCTGCCATCCCCCCCAATGCTGCTGCATCTCCACTGAAGATAAAGACTTGGGCGGAGACTAGGAAAACATACGTGCTTTGGAGTTGGGAAGTAGATGGGAGCAGCTGATGAGGACGCATTTTCCTCTTTAAATAATGTCCGTGTAATATGAAATTGAAGAGCACGGGTTAAAGGAGGAAAATGCATCCAAGATGAACATGCACATCATCAGTGACCTTTGGTAGGTGGGAATAGGATGTGCCAGGGGGTGAGTGGGCAAGCAGCTCTATCCAGGCCAGTGGAGTTGACTCTCACCACACCCTCTGAACATCTCACAGGATCCCTTGAGTTGTAGCACCACAAGCTTGCTTTAGCCCTTGCAAGATCCAAATAATTGCCCGAAGAATGAGATCAGCCTTATTTTCATCCCTGTTTTTCTTAATTCTTTCCTTTGTCTTTCCTGCAAAAGTTAAACTGTGATTATTGGAAAATAAAAATAATTATGCAGATCAATTTAACAGTTGTATGGATGAAGAAAAATGACCTGTTGTCCTTTATGTACTTTAGCCCTCCCCTGCCCAAGGGAACCGGCCAGAGAGTACCGTGTCATTCAATCCGTATGAGCCAGAAGTTGCACCCTGGGCTGCAGAAAAAGGTGAGACTTGCTTTCATTCAAGGACATTCACAGAGCAAAGCACGTGGTCACTTGTAAGTTTGTAGAGTTGGTTCACGAATCCACCCCACGTCCGTGATTTCGATACAGCCACAGTTAGCCACGGAGACACTCACATCTGGTGGCAGGCAGCAGGCACCACATGCCCATGAGCGGTAGTGGTGCTATTGAATGAAATGGTCTTTCCCACCTCCCTCACCCAGCGACGTTGGAAACGTCCCTGCCGCTCTTCAGAATTTCTCATCCCTTGCAACACTGATGCTACTCTGAGTTCACACTCCCATGAAAATCATGTTCTTGGAAGGATGAATCCTGATGTGGGGTCCAGCTCCGGGTTGTATGTTTCTTGACTGCCTTGCAGGCCCCCAGAGAGAAGCCCTACCCATGGACACAGAGGTGTATGAGAGCCCCTATGCGGACCCTGAGGAGATCAGGCCCAAGGAAGTTTACCTGGACCGAAATCTACTGACGCTGGAAGACAAAGAACTGGGCTCTGGTAATTTTGGAACTGTGAAAAAGGGCTACTATCAAATGAAAAAGTAAGTCGCTATGCTCCACAGGTCTCACCCTCACATGAGCTCAGGTTCTAGACACGACTGAGAATAACAAAATGTAGCCTGGCATGACTAAACCCTTTTTTTATTAATGCTATCTTTCTTGTTCATTTCTGGTACTATTATAATGAAAGCCTTTAATGGCAAAAACTGCAATTACTTTTGCACCGACCTAAAAGTACATGCACCTTATGGAAAATTAGGAAATAGAAACAAGTAGAAATATAAGAAAATAAAAACATCAATCTCTGGTGTGGTGGCTCATGCCTGTAGTCTTAGCAATTTGGGAGGCTGGGGTAGAAGGATTGTTTGAGACCCAGAGTTTGAGACCAGCCTGGGAAACATAGCAAGACCCTGTCTCTACAAAAAAAAAACAAAACAAAAACGCACACACATTAAAAGATTAGCCAGGCATGGTAGTGGACACCTATAGTTCCAGCTGCTCAAGAGGTCAGGAGGTCAAGGCTGCAGTGAGCCATGATTGCGTCACTGCACTCCAGCTTCAGTGACAAAGCAAGGCCCTGTCTCAAAAAGAAAAAGAAAAGAAGAAAAACGTCATATTTGTATAATACCATCCCAACACTACCACTGTTAACTAAACACTGCTGTTGATTAACCTTGTAGTATACATTTTTAGATCTTTAGTTGTACACACACATATTACTTAATTAAAAGAAAATCATTCCATTATAACAATACAGTGTTTACATTTATTTTCTTTAACTTTATAGTTATGTCTCATTTTTCTTACTGTGAAAATTATTGATTCCAAATATAATTAGTATAATTATGTATTGGCTTTATCCTATGATTTCAAATAACCATATATATTATACAACAGTTAAAATTGCTAAATTTCTAAAATATCTTTGTATTTTTTTTGGTCTTTAGAAAGTATCCAACATGGAATATACAAGTAAAAATACTGGTTTCTAAAGTCCTTTGAAACACACCCTCTCTTTGAATTGGTATGATACTAATATGAATGTGGTTGGATTTAGTAGCTTCATAGTATTTTAAATTTAAGGAATTTTTGTAAAAAAAAAAATTTTATGAGTAGGTAATTTATATGATTCAAATAGGTTAAAAATATAGACAAAAGTGTACACAGACATGCATGCTTTCCGGCCAGGTGCCGTGGCTCACACCTGTAATCCCAGCACTTTAGGAGTCCAAGGCAGGTGGATCACCTGAGGTCTGGAATTCGAAACCAGCCTGGCCAACATGGTAAAACCTTGTCTCTACTAAAAATACGAAAAGTTAGCTGGGTGTGGTGGTGCACACCTGTAGTCCCAACTACTCAGGAGGCTGAGACAGGAGAATCGCTTGAACCTGGGAGGAAGAGGTTGTAGTGAGCCAAGATCACACCATTGAACTCCAGCCTGGGCAACAAGAGTAAAACTCTGTCTCAAAAAAGGAAGAGAGAGAGAGAGAGAGAGAAAAAGGAGAAATGCTTGCTTTCCAGTCTGTCCCTTCCATTTGTTTTTGTGCATGTGCATCTGTGTGTATATACATATATACATATATACACACACAGATACACATACATGTATGTATGTATACACACAAACATACATACATATGTATACATTCACAAGTATATACATAAGCACATATATACACACAATCAAAATTGGTTGTGATACTTATTTTAAAATGTTTGTATAACAGTCATTTTGTACAATGAACAAAAATGTTTATGTATTAATCATAAGCTTTTTCAGTTTGTGAAAGGTTGTGATCTTTATTCTCTGCTTAAATTTGTGAATTAACATAGACATGACTGGACATAATTTCAACTAGAGAGTTTGGGGAGAAGAGAGGCTCTCTCGGTCAACGTTGCAAAATGATGTCTTAACGATAGTGAGTCTTTCAATCTACAAACACAGCCCATCCCCGCATTTACTAGGTCTTCTTCAGCGTCTCTCAGGACAGTTGTTTACCTTTTCAATGCATTACATTTAAATGTATCCTTTTAAATTCTGCACCTAGAAATTCACTTTCAACGTTTATGAAAGGCACTTTATATTCACGTTCATTACACATAATCTGAGATAGTGAATCCCAAGATGTTACAGGAATTCGTGCGTGTCATTGTTGGTGAGGTTTATTTACAAGTTATTTAAATATTTTACAGTTTAGGGTTTTTGCTTGGTTGGGACATTCTTCAGTACTGTTCTTCACTGTTCTTTTTATTTTATTTTATTTTTTAGAAACAGGGTTTCCCTCTGTCACCCAGGCTAGAGTGAAGTGGCAAGAAGCTCACTGCAGCCTTGAACTCCTGAGTCCAAGTGATTCTTCCACCTCAGCCTCCTAAGCAGCTGGGACTACAGGCTTGCACTGTCACATCTAGATGATTTTTTTTAGAGATGGGGTCTCACTATGTTGCCCAGGCTGATCTTGAACTTCTGGCCTCAAGCAATCCTCCCCCTTCAACCTCCCAAAGTGTTGGGATTATCGGCATGAGCCACCATGCCCAGCCCCCACCATTTTTTTTTAGTAATGGGGCATTACTCTCATTGTCTATAAAATTAGGGAATGTAGGTTGGAAGGCCAGCCATCCATTACAGGCTTCTGAAGACATATTGTCACTCTGTGGCAGGTATTTCCATGAGACTGTTTCCATGTGGGGATTATGCTTCACAGGAGAAGATTATCTAGAAGTGAGGCATTTCGGAAAGTTTCTTGTGTGTTATAATTTCTCTTGCAGAGTTGTGAAAACAGTGGCTGTGAAAATTCTGAAAAACGAGGCCAATGACCCCGCTCTTAAAGATGAGTTGTTAGCAGAAGCAAATGTCATGCAGCAGCTGGACAACCCGTACATCGTGCGCATGATCGGGATATGCGAGGCCGAGTCCTGGATGCTGGTTATGGAGATGGCAGAACTTGGTCCCCTCAATAAGTATTTGCAGCAGAACAGGTATTATCAGGTGCCCCCACAGGTCTGGAAGCTATCCCCTAAGGGACAGGGCCCACCACTGGATGGGCTGAGCAGCCTGATTTCCGTGGGAAGCCTTCCCACCCTCCTGTGCCTTCCCTTATTGGTCCATACTCAGGGACCTTGACAGAGGGACAGAGGGAGATACAGTCTTTGGATTCAGCTCTGTTAGCTCTAGTTGTTCAGAGAAGAACTCATTCGACAGTTTTGTCTTTCTTTTCTTTCTGTACTCATTCAGTCTTGGCCTAGTGATAGACTCAGCCTCAGAATATCTTGACAGGGAATCTCCTTTCTCACTGGGAAGAACACGTTCTTTTTAAAGAAACATTTAAAATAAGTGCTTTTCTAAGAGGTGACAGTTATGTCTTATCTGTTTGGCTGACCTTATGTTCTCATGAGTAATGACTTCTGAAAATATCAGTTGCTGCTAATTGATTACATCCATCAAGGGAGTAATCGTGTTCTCATCTAAAGCTGTTGTTGAGATGAGGAAACTCACTTAGAGTAAGACAGAATGATGGCTACTGAGGAGCTTGCCTTGTTTGCTGTGCTATGTTTGTACTTAGATTGTCTCTTTAGTCTCCATGGAAGGGAGGTGTTCTTACCCTTTATAGGTGAGAAACTGAGACTCAGGGTTAGTTCTGTGACCTGTGCAATACTGGAACAAGGATTTAAGGTGGTGCCTGGCTGTCTGTGAACCAGGCCTCACCACTCTGTTATACTGCTTGTCTTGCAATTCCAAGCATGCCAGTAAACTCAATCCCATTGAACACCAGGAGAATATGGCATTCAGTCCTGAAGTGCTACATGCTAACAAAGTTATTTGTCACCACTTGTGAGTTTTGTTGTTTAAGAAGAGGGAAGGAGTAGATTCACCTACTGCCTGCATGAGGAGCGTGGTTGTTTGTTGTGAAATGGGTCACTGTCTGTTATAGCTGATGAGATCATTGTGACTTTCAGACATGTCAAGGATAAGAACATCATAGAACTGGTTCATCAGGTTTCCATGGGCATGAAGTATCTGGAGGAATGCAATTTTGTGCACAGAGATCTGGCCGCAAGAAATGTGTTGCTGGTTACTCAACATTATGCCAAGATCAGTGATTTCGGACTTTCCAAAGCACTGCGTGCTGATGAAAACTACTACAAGGTAAGTACAACTTAGCTAATATTCAGAGCAGCCAGTGGTAAAAAATACAAGGTAAATGTATATTTTCTTTATTTTACTATTGGTATGGCTTCAAAAAGCAATTTTGCTACTTAAAAAATAACTATGTAAGAAATGTTCTTATAATCTTTGATTTCACTGTTTAAAAAATAAAAATAATATATCACACCTTGAGATTTACTCAATGTAGTATATTCTAAATTATGTTTCATGGAATGATCAGGAATCGAGGTATTAAGTGATGATTTGTTTTGAAAAAAGAAGAATGGGATTCCTTCATTAAGGTGATTTCAAAAGTTTGGATTGGACAGCTTGATTCTTGCAGGATTTCCCCAAAGCCCTTTTCATGCTACTCAACATTACAAATCTCAGTAGAGGGTTTTGCTGCATTGCATCTCTCAAACCAGATTCATCCATGATATGCTTTTCTGATAGGACATTTCATAACATCTGGTGGAACACTGTTCCACAGCATGGAGCCATTGCAGCTTGGAGCTCCAGTATTGCAACTTGGAGCTCCAGTATCGCAGCTTGGAGCTATTCCAAAATAACCTTCTAATGAACACCTATCTACACGTGTAAAAGTTAGGAAGTGAAGATTTATCAAATAAACTCATCATCTGTGTATGTCTACTACATATGTAGAAATTGTTCTATTGGCTTAACTGGTATCCTGAGGAGTTGAAGTGTCAAAAAATAAATGCAGTGCTGGAAAGAAGAGATCTAGATAGTTATGTGACTGAAGCTAAAAGAAACCTATGCCCCTTAGTTTGGTGAGGCAGAGATTATCAAGAATTAAGGGTGAACTTCAGCAAAACATAAAGTAGAAACTAGTTCTGGGTGCAGGCTTAGACCTCCTAAAAAATAATTTCACAGTGACCAATCCCCTTGCTAATATGACTTGACCCCTCTCTGAACCCTCAAATGAACCAATAACAACCAAAAGAAGAAAAGATAAGAAAGCTCCATCTTCATATTAACTCATCCATGGTGTATACCTAGGGTCTGTGTTGACCAGCTGGAAAATGTGATGGGATTGGGTCCCGCTGAGTCAAAGAGGGTGCCGAGGGCAGGTTGACAACTCTGCTGGTCTCTGGTGAAGTCCACGTGCTCAGAAATAGATGGTAGACCCTGAAAATCTACCTAGTGGATGGCAGATGGGGTCCTGAGTTTCATGCCCTGCAGTGGTCAGAGACTCCACCCTAAGTGACAATACCCACCCACTCACCTTTCCCTAAGAGGCAGTCCATGGACCAGTAGGTGATGGGGAACGGTGGACCTCAGCCACCAAAGGGACTGCATGAAGGGTGAGCCACAAGAGCCAAGCTCTTAGGCAGGCAGGCAGACTCCACCATCTTGAGCGAAAAGGCCAGGCGAGAGTATAGCAGGGCTCAGGCTGGCCCTCCTCGCCCCATTCTTCATATAGTAGCTTCCCAGAAGGAAACCCCTTCAGCGGTGAGCCACTGTGAGAAGGGCATCAACATGGGCCTGGATAGAGACAGCAGGGAAACGGAGCAAGGGAGACAGCAGCCTAGGATGAGCAGCATGGGACATGCTGGAGAAAGAAGCCTGTTGTAAAGCTGGATGTATCTCATCATGATCATTAGACAGAAGAAGACAGCCTGTCTGAAACAAGGACACAGATGAGATAGAGAAGATGAAACATGAATGCTGGTCACCTTATCCACTGCTGTGTAACAAATCACCTGAAACTTAGTGCCAAAAACACCACCAGGTGTTGGTTTCCTTGCCATCCTGCTGTGTGGGCAGGGCTGGGTGGGCAGGCTTTAGTGTGTCTGCTCACAACAGGGGGTTGTACGGTGGCCTGAGGGACAGGAGGACCGTTTCCACTCTGCTCACTCACACTACTCAGCCATGAGCAGCTGGTTAGACACGGCCCGTGCTGGAGACCTCTGTGGGGCTGTCAGCCAGCTCGCCTGCACACAGCCTCTCCTTGGGGCCCTTGGGCTTCCTCACAGCGTGGCAGCTGCAGGCTGAGAGCAGTTACCCAAGAGGCAGGAAGTAGGGGCTGCCAGGCCTATAAGGCCGGGCCCAGAAACTGCCTCAGGGTCACTTCCACCTCCTGATTCTGTTGGTCAGAGCAACCAAGGCCGCCAGCTTCAAAGGATGGGATAGATAGAACCACCTTTGTGAGGAGAAGCGTCAAAGAGTCAAAGAATATGGGGCCAATTCTAAAACCGCCATAGATATTAAACAGCATACCATTAGAAAGTAAACTAAAGTAAACTAAAAAGTAAACCAAAGTTGTCTTTGGACAATCAATGAAGAAAAAAAGCCACTACAGAAATAAAAGCCATGTTGGAAGCAGCAAAAACAGACCAAACTACTGAAAAGACAGGGTAGTGGAGGATTTCTTTATGAAAAAAAAGCAAAGTGACATGGAAAAGAATAAAAAGTGGGCTGGGAATGGTGGCTCACACCTGTAATCCCAGCACTTTGGGAGGCTGAGGCGGGCGGATTACCTGAGGTCAGGAGATCAAGACCAGCCTGGACAACATGGTGAAAACCCGTCTCTACTAAAAATACAAAAATTAGCTGAACGTGGTGGCGCACACCTGTAATCCCAGCTACTCTGGAGGCTGAGGCAGGAGAATTCCTTGAGCCCGGGAGGCAGAGGTTGCAGTGAGCTGAGATTGTACCACTGCACTTTAGCCTGGCCAACAGAGTGAGACTCTGTCTCAAAAAAAAGAATAAAAAGTGAAACAAGATCAAAGAAAAGTTCTAGCTGTGGAAGCAAACGAACTCTGGCACTCAGGGAACAATGTGTGGCAGTGTGGATTTGTGCAGCATCATGACTGAAAACACAAGTGCTCTTTGATCCAGCAGCTCCTTCGGGGAGCAAACACACACATCTGGTAATGTGCACTCTAGCACGGGCTGCCGTAGCAAAAATCTGGAAACCGCCTGACAGCTGCTGCACAGAGTTTGGTCCAGTCAGTCATAGCAGATTCACAGCAAGCTCACAACGCAGCGCTTTTAAAAGTGACTTCATTTGCATGTGCTGACCTAGAAATATGTCTACTATACATGGTTAGACAGAAAAATTTAAAAGTACAGTGCGAAAAGAATATGCCCCTAGTTTGTTGACCAGAAAAAAGTAAATAGTACCTATGTATGCATGTATCTAGGTTATTCTGGAGAGAGGCTAACTTTCATTGCATTTAGGATTTGCCAAAGGTTTACTTTTTTCATCCGTTCAGAATTCAGAAGAAACTTGAAATAACACACATGGCTGTATTGTTCATGACTTGTAAGATCAACATTTCAAAATAGCACACAAGGTGATGGAAACAGAAGTATAATCAGTCGTGTCATTTGGAAGAGAAATGCCAGGGCACCTTATGGTCTCCAGACTGATGTCCCGAATGTCTCCTTGTGATCCACCATAGTGCCATGAAATCAGTTTTCGCTGAAATCATGTCTCTCCCTCCACCGCAATGAGACCTCACACAGGTGACATCAGCAGAAGATAACAAGACTCTGCTGTGTGTCCCCGAATCCCAGACCCAGCAGAGAGGGTTTTGCTATACAGTTTTGACCTCTGTACTATCACTTGCTTTTTAAAATTAGGATATTAGAAAGCTTAGATCATTTTTTAATGATGCTAGCAAATAGTGTATGCTAAAATAATTGACCTGGGAGGAGAACTGATCAAGGTGGACAACTAAATGCAACTAGTATATGCTCCTCCGTGGAGAGGGACCAAAATAACACGTACACATTCACACTTCCAATATGTGATCTAAGAGAGAACACGGATGCAACCGAGGAGCGACAGGAAGCACGAAAAGCAAAGCAGAGGGAAACGAGGCAGCCTGCTTGGCCAGGAATGACTGGGGAGCTGGAAGAAGCTTCCGGATGTGGGGAAAGCGTAAGTGAGAGATCCCCAGGGCTCCACATTCCAGCCAAGGACTTCTACAGTCCTAGCGACAGGAGAATCCCTCGACTCACGTGGGCCTTAAGATTGCCACAGGGAGCTGCCTAGGGATCACACAGAGGCATTGCTCCATAGAGGGAACTCACACTGAGTCCCACAGGCTTCCAAGCTCTGAGTTGCTGCAGTTTGGTGCCATACTGAGAACCAAGCCCCCAAAGGATTGCATCTTGCCCTGGGACTATTGCTGATGCTGCCACCACCAGGCCAAGGACAGAGAGGAGAGTGGACACCGCCACACACCCCAGGGACAGATCCCCCTGCTGCTGCAGGCTGCTGTGGGACTGAGACACAAGCAAATCCCACCCCCTGTAGCTGCCTGCCTACACTGCTCCCCCTGAGAATGGCCCCAGCCTCCCCAGGAGCAGGCCCATAGCCAGCGCCATTCTGAGAGCCAAGCTTCCAAAGGTCTGTGTCTTTCCCTGGGCCAGGGCTGATGCTGCCACTGCCGGGCCACACAGGGAGAAGAGAGGCCAGGCACTTTCACCTACCACAAAAGCAAATCCCACCACCACTGCTGAGGGCTGCTATGAGACCAAGGCTCAAGGAGACTGCATATCCCACAGCTACCTGCCTACTCTGCACCTATTGACAGTGGCCCTACCCTTTCTGGTGGCAGGCCTTCAGGGCAGCCACTCCTGGCAACCTAGAGACCACCCCTCCCTGGGTTTGGTTCTTTTTAAAAGAACCAAACAGAAATTCTGGAACGAAAGATTCATTGAATGCAATAAAAAATACATCCCAAACTTCACCAATAGACTAGGTCAGGCAAAATAAAGAATCTCAGAACTTGAAGACAGATCTTTTGAAACAATCTATTCAGACAAAAATAAAAAGAATAAAAAAGAACTGGACGAAATGCACAAACACAGCAAGGAAACAATGAAGCCACAAAAGCAGGGATGTATTGAAAACAAAAGTACACTCCACAGGGTGGGAGCAGGCCTGAGCATAGGGGTTCTAGAGCTCAGTTACAGAGTTTTCTGGGGTTTAAATACCCTCTATATAGACAACGGAATAGTATTCAGCCTTCAAAAGGAAGGGAATTCACTACAATATGCATGAGCCTGGAGGACATTATGCTGAGTGAAATTGAGACAGGAGAATAGGGCCTGGAGGCAGGGAACCTAAAGACTTCCTAGAACTAAATCGAATGGAAACACTTCAGATATGACAGGAAATATCCTTCATTTACACAGGGCGTACACTCAGTAAATGACTTTGTAACGTTACTTCATCCTCTTCATTTACATAGGGTGTACACCAAGTAAATAACTTCGTAACTTCACTTTAGCCTCTTCATTACATAGAGTGTACCGCAAGTAACCAGTGAACACCTCTAGAGGGTGAATAAAAAAGAATGAGCAAACCCTTCATGATATATGGGGCAGTGCAAAGCAACTGAATATTCAAATCATCAATATTCCCAAAGGTGAAGAGAAAATCCTATTTAATGAAATATTAGATCAAAAGTTCCCAAATCTAACAACAAACCTAGACATCCAGATACAGGAGGCCCAAAGTTCCCCAAACAGATACAATACAAAATCATCTTCTCCACAGCACGTTACAATCAAACCACTTAAAGTCAAAGCAAAAGCAAATATACTAAAAACAGCAAAAGAAAAGCTTCTAATCACCCATAAAGGAACCACCATTAGACTAACAGTGGACTTCTCAGCAGACACCTTACAGTCCAGGAGAGAAGGGGATAACATTTTCAAAGTGCTGAAAAAAAAGTACTGCCACCCAAGGAGACCAGGTCCAGCAAAACTATCCTTCATAAATAAAGGAAAAATAAAGCCTTTCCCAGGTAAGCAAACACTGAGGGAATTCATCACCACTAGACTAATCCTAGAAGAAGCACTCAAATGAATCCTAAACGTGGAAGTAAAAGGACAATATTTACCATCATAAAAATGCACAAAAGTATAAAACTCACTGGTAAACCAAACATACAAATAATCCTGTTAAGTAGTGGGCTAAGAACATAGATAGACATTTCTCAAAAGAGGATATACGAATGGCCAACACGTATATGAAAAAATGCTCAATATCACCAAATAGCAGGAAAGTGCAAATTACAAACACAGTGAGATACCATCTTATCATAGCTAGAATGGCTATATTAAAAATATTTTTTAAAAAATGCTGGCAAAGATGCAGGAAAAAGGGGAACTATTTGTGGGAATATAAATTGGTATAGTCACTATGGAAAATAGTAGAGAGACTTCTCAAAACAAAAACAAGCCAGCCACAGTGGCTCACGCCTGTAATCCCAGCACTTTGAGAGGCCAAGGTGGGTGGATCATGAGGTCAGAAGATCGAGACTATCCCAGCTAACACAATGAATCCCTGTCTCTACTAAAAATACAAAAACTTAGCCGGGCATGGTGGTGGTCCTGTAGTCGCAGCTACTTGGGATGCGGAGGCAGGAGAATGGCGTGAATCTGGGAGGCGGAGCTTGCAGTGAGCCAAGATCACGCCACTGTGCTACAGCCTGGGTGACAGAGCTAGACTCCATCTCAAAAAAACAACAACAACAAAAAAAACTACACATAGAATTACCATATGATCCAGCAATCCTACTATTGAGTATTTATCCCAAGGCAAATAAACTTGTATCAAAGGGATACATACACTCATGTGCTTATCATAGAACTATTGACAATAGCAAAGATATGGAATCAACATAAGTGGCCATCAGTGGATGAATGGGTAAAGAAAATGTGGTGTGTGTATATATATGTGTGTGTGTGTGTGTATGTATGTATATGTATATACATATATGTGTGTATATATACACATATGTGTATATATACACACATACATACACATATATAAACACACACATACATATATATGTGTATATATAGATAACACACACACACACACAATGGAATACTATTTGGCCTGAAAAAGAATGAAATTATGTCATTTACTGCAACATGGATGGAACTGGAGGTCATTATGTTAGATGGCATAAGCCAAGTACAGAAAGACAGATGCCACACGTTCTCACCCATGTGTGGAAGCTTAAAAAAAGTGAGATTTCATGGAGATAAGGAATAGGATAGATACCAGAGGCTAGGAAGGGTGTACGGATGGGAGTGGAGATGAAAGAGGTTGGTTAATGGGTGCAAACATACAATTAGACAGAACAAATGAACTCCAATATTTGAGAGCAGAGTGGCGTGACTATAGTTAGCAACATTATATTGTATATTTCAAAGTTGCTAGAAGAGAGGGCTTGAAATGCTCCCAACACATAGAAATGGTAAGTACTCAAGGTGCTAGACATCCCAAATACCCTGACTTGGTCATTACACATTCCATGCATGTAACAAATACATGTACCCCATAAATATGTAAAATATTTTGTATCAATTAAAAAAATTTTTAAAAGAAATAATTGAAATTGGCTTAAAACTGTGGACATACGCACATTAGTACTTAAATATACTTATGAACGGCCCAGTATTTCTCAGATCATAACCATAAAGCAATATTCAGACTTGACTTGTCTGTTGCCATCTACATTCCCCATGAAGCTGTGTGTGACCAAAAGAAAAGATGAGAGGAGAAGACTAAAAGATGCAAAGATTTTATATTTAATATATTAAATAAATAATATAAATAATATATTAAATAATATAAATAAATATATTAAATATATATTTTTTAAAATTTTTAAATAATTTTAAAGCTTTTAAGATTTAATAGTATCTTTAAAATTCAGACTAAACATACAGACACACACACACACACACGTACACACAGTATTTTGTGGCTCAGGATTTTATTCTTTGTTAAAGTTGTGATAAAATACATGTAACATGAAATTTCTCAGCTTAATCATTTTTTTATGTGTACAGTTTAGCAGTGTTAGGTACATTCATGTTGTTGTACAACCAATATCCAGAACTCTTTTCATCTTGCAAAACGGAAACTGTCCCCATCAAACACCGACTCCCCATTCTCCCTCCCTACTAGACCCTGGCAACCAGCATTGTACTTTCTGTCTGTATGAGTTTAGCTACTCTTGGTACCTCACCAGAACCATACAGTATTTGTCCTTTGGTGACTGGCTTATTTTGTTATGGGTGGAGGGTGTCCAGCTTCTTGGCATCTTGTACGAAGAACTGGACAAAATGCACCAACAGCAAGGAAACAATGAAGCCACAAAAGCAGAGATTTATTGAAAACAAAAGTACACTCCACAGGGTGGGAGCGAGCCTGAGCATAGGGGTTCTAGAGCTCAGTTACAGAGTTTTCTGGGGTTTAAATACCCTCTAGAGGTGTTCACTGGTTACTTGGGGTACACTCTATGTAAATGAAGAGGCTAAAGTGAAGTTACAAAGTTATTTACTTGGTGTACACCCTATGTAAATGAAGAGGATGAAGTAACCTTACAAAGTCATTTACTGAGTGTACACCCTGTGTAAATGAAGAGGATATTTCCTGTCATATCTGAAGTGTTTCCATTCGATTTAGTTCTAGGAAGTCCTTAGGTTCCCTGCCTCCAGGCCCTATTCTCCTGTCTCAATTTCACTCAGCATAATGTCCTCCAGGCTCATGCATATTGTAGTGAATTTCCTTCCTTTTGAAGGCTGAATACTATTCCGTTGTCTATATAGAGGGTGTTTTGTGTATCCACTCATCTGCTGAAGGACACTTGAGTTACTTTCATGTTTTGACTATTGGGAATAATGCTGCTATGAACATGAGTGTACACAATTTTATGCTTTTCTTTCTTTCTTTTTTTTTTTTTTTTGAGATGGAGTCTCTCATTCTGTTACCCAGGCTGCAGTGCAGTGGTGTGATCTCAGATCACTGTAACCTCCGCCTTCTGGGTTCAAGCAATTCTCCTGCCTCAGCCTCCCAAGTAGCTGGGATTACAGGCACCCACCACCACACCTGGCTAATGTTTGTATTTTTAGTAGAGACGGGGTTTCGCCATGTTGGCCAGGCTGGTCTTGAGCTCCCGATCTCAAGTGATCTGCTCTCCTCAGCCTCCCAAAGTGCTGGGATTACCGGCATGAACCACTGCGCCCAGCCCACAATTTTATTCTTAATGGAATTTCTCCCTCTGCTTTGCTTTTAGGCCCAGACCCATGGAAAGTGGCCTGTCAAGTGGTACGCTCCGGAATGCATCAACTACTACAAGTTCTCCAGCAAAAGCGATGTCTGGAGCTTTGGAGTGTTGATGTGGGAAGCATTCTCCTATGGGCAGAAGCCATATCGAGTGAGCCACTCTTTCATTTTCTCACTGTGGGGCCGTTAGAACAGATAAGCACCAGACTGTCTTTACAGGAACCTGAAAACCCTAAAATCTGAGCACCTCTCTGAGTCTCTCATTATCTTTTACCAGTAAGCAGTTAATGTGCCCTCAGTCTATTCCAAACTGAGGACGAAATATGTGATGCTCGCTGAAGAGTGTGCTTTTCCCATTGTGTGTCAACGCACGTAAATATACACAAAATACAACCCAGCTCATTATTCATTAGAGTTGAAATAGAAATAATGACTATTTACAGTATCTTAGTTACATTTTTTAGATCTTTTAATTAAAACATATATACCAAAAAGGGCACAACTCTTAGCATGCGGCACAGTGGTTTTTCCACAAATGAAACATACCCGTGAAATCAGCCCCCAGATGAAGAACAGAACCCCAGAGGCCGTTTCCTCTGCACACACAGCCTTCCCCGCGGCTGACCCATCTGACTCCCGCATCACAGATTAAGTGCTCCTGTTTTGATACTTCATATAATTGAAATCATACAATGTGTACTCCTCCATGTCTTGGAGTGGCGGTTTTGTTTTGTTTGGCTAACACCTTTTTAAAAAAAAAAAAAAAAAAAAGCTTATGCATATCTTGCATGTTGTAGGGGATGAAAGGAAGTGAAGTCACCGCTATGTTAGAGAAAGGAGAGCGGATGGGGTGCCCTGCAGGATGTCCAAGAGAGATGTACGATCTCATGAACCTGTGCTGGACGTACGAGTGAGTACCTAACACTGTCTGCGACGTATTTAAATGCTCTGGAGACAGGTGAAATGGCTGGGCGTCTGAAACAAGCATAAAGTTCACCTTTTCATGAATCAGGAATGTGCCCCCTTTCTAAACAAGCAATGGTGGGGGCTGGTCCTGCTTTAAGTTTAGACAGGGACTCTAACCCAAGTGTCCAGATTTAAACGTCGATAATGGTGGAGATATGGGGCAAGGGCAGTCAAACTAAAAAGGTGTTTGTAAGAGTTTGGGGCTGGATGCCGTTTCTGGCATATAGAGGATGGTAGCAGTACTCGGTAGGGGATGTTATACTTTCCTGACTCCCTGATGGCCATGAGCAGTGAGGGATGACCTCGGACTCTGGCCAGCTCACAAATGGATTGGCTAAGGTTGCACTTCCCTAGAATCTACCTCGTCCTTGAAGTGGTGGCCTCAGTCCACCCTGACTGCCATCATATGTCTCGCTTAGTGGATCCCAGGTGCTGTTATGCTTGTAAAGTACACCTGGCATTATTCTCAGGTGATGCTCAGAGCAGCTGAGCAGGGAAGGAAAATGCATTGTCACTGAAAACTAGGAGTACAGCTTTGCCAGGCTCAGCAGCCTGCTTGTGCGTGCGTAGCATGGTGACCCCAAGCTGCCATCTCCAGCTCCCTGGTACTGAACTGTGTGTGCACACAGAGCCCATGCAGCTTAGAATCGACGTGGTTTGTGATCAGGAGGACATCACAAATCCTGGCCATGGATTTGATGCTTTGTGGAATCAGGTTTGCCCTCAGATACAGCTGACATTGCCAGAGCCTCTGAAAGATGAGGGCTATTTCAAATGCTGCCGATGCCACCTGGGGTTCCAAGACCTCCCCTCCCTACCCTGGGAGTATCACTCTACCACAATTGTGAGTGATGGGGAAATAATCTCATTCTCCATCTAGAAACCACCCAGGGCGCAGCCACAAAGGCAGCAGGCAAACTGTGGGTAGTTGCTACCCTGCCCCTGCTGCTGCCGTGGCTCAGGAGAGGGGCCCGGCCTGGGCCCTGCAGCATCTTCTCCAACCCCAAGTGTTAGTGCTACAGGGAGAGCTAAGTGTCAGCAAGAGGGAAGTGTTATTCATGGATTTAGGAGGATGTTTATTCCTAAGTCTTGGCTTAATTCTCCCAGTGCCCAAACCAGAATTGTCAGAACCATTGGCAGGTAGGCACTGGCAGCACTGGACCCTGGGGAGGGCAGCCCTTGGGCACGTGGCAGCCTGTGGCCCTTTGCTGGTAGTGTTCTTTGGTCCTGCTGCAAGGCTTCCCTTCCTGTAGGAGGGTGAGGAGGGTAGAGTTTAAATCATTGTGATACAAATGCAAAAACTTGGAATTAAAAATGAACTCGCAGTGGGGAGTTTTTGCATTTAACGTTGATGCTGATCTATGTATTTCTGTCGATTCTTCTTTGTGGTGTGTGTTTTACAGTGCAGAGTGAAAGGTGGGTGGGGAGAGGGCTAGGTGCTGCAGCCAGGGGGCACCACCTCCCACTTGGCTCCCACGTGGCTGCAGTGTGAGGCTGCTGAACACCCTTTGGGCCATGGTGCATTCTTGTGACTCAAGGAATCAGGATGGGGGCTGCTGGGCCCACCTCTGTCCTCCATGGACACACTAACAGTGGGCACTGTTATTTCCGGAATGGTCCACCAGGGGGAGGCCGGGGAGGAAAAGCAGTCTATGTGATACTCACTGGATATTCACCAGAATTACAGCGAAGTAGAGCAGTAAACAGTCTCCTTAAGAGAGCATTCTTTCTAAACGTATTTTCCCGCCTAGAGATTTAAGATGGAACCTGAGTGAGGTTCCCAGGCAGGCGGTGTCTTTCCCCTTTTGGTTCCCACCCCAGTCCGCTCTGCAGTGGTGCGTTTCCGTGAGCGCTGCAGGCTTGGAGGAGTCAGCTCCCGGGCACAAGCCCCAGTCAAAGGGAAATCATGACGATGGCCCATGCCCCAGATTAGAAATCGTAGCTCTTTATCAGACTTTGATTTATTTCCCAACAAAGTGACATTTCTGAAGGTTACAGGGTTCCTAGTAGTGACCTCAAACAGGGTTGGGGGAGGTGGGGAGATGTTCAGAAACTTTTGAAGCAGCTGTATTTGTCTGCGGTAATACCTGAGTTCGTTGCCTCACGCCAAGCAAATCGAAGATGCAGACACCCAAGAAGTGAGTTTAAGAGCAGAGGTTTAATAGGCAAGAGAAAAGAAAAAAGCTCTCTCTCCTGCAGACAGATAAGGGCTGCCAAGTGGTTCTTCAGGTTCCTGTGGAAATACACAGGGTTTTATAGACCAACTTGAGCCTGATTTACATAGGGCCCAAAGATTGGTTGGACCAGGTGGGTCATTTACATAACATGGAAAGAAACTGGTCGCCCCACCCTAACTTTTATTATGCAGATGAGGTCTCTACTTGGCCAGTGCCATGTTGCCTGCCTTTTTTTTTTTTTTTTTTCTGAGACAGAGTCTTGCTCTGTCGCCCAGGCTGGAGTGCAGTGGCGCAATCTCGGCTCCAGGATGGTCTGGATCTCCTGACCTCATGGTGCGCCCACCTCGGCCTCCCAAAGTGCTGCGATTACAGGTGTGAGACACTGCGCCCAGCCTTTGCCTGCTTTTTTACTGCACACTTGGCAACAAGGAAAGTGGAAGAGGGAACCTCCATGTTGAATATCCCTGACCTCCAGGTGTCCCTTTTCTATCGACACAGCTTCCAGCATTTACCTATGCGAGCTTTTAGCTTGCTTATCTATGCTTGCAGCTTGATTTTTCAGGCTGCTTTTTGTTAGAAAAAGACATGATTTAGGGGCTGCTTTTTATTACAAGGAAACCTTACAGAGGACTCTGTCACCCACTCTATATGCCTACATAATTTCTTTCTAGCTCCGTATCACTTTGTCTCAACATAAGAAATTCAATGAGGTGCAGTTGAATGAAAAAAAAGAAAAACATTCCTTGAAGCAGGGCCACAAGGAGAACTCAGAAGTGCCAAGGGCTGGTCCTGGTAACCGGGGCTATTGCTCGAGGCCCTCCAGAAGGTGCAGGGGTCCCGGGTCCCTCACCACAGACCTTGTCATCAGTTCCAGGGTGTGGTCCTGGAGGGAATTCAAAGGGACTTCCCAGCCTCAATGACAGAGCCCTGAGAAGGCAGACAGCATCCCTCACTCACCACTGTAAGAGAGCCAGAGATTACCTCCAACCCCTTTTTAGTCTTAGCGGGCTCTTCAGCTGGACCTAGAAACCAAATTGATACCAGGCAGATTAATAAAAGAAAAGCATACCAATTTTATTAGTTTTACATGTTTATGGGGAGACTCACAAGAGAGTGAAGTCTAAAGAAGTGGCCAAAGCAAGATGCTTTTATACCTTTTAGACAAAGAACCATACATTTAAGAAGAAACGACAGGACAAATCTGGCTAGGAGTAAATTTTCTAGAGAAGGCACTCGGAGATATGAGGATGGTGTAAAACCAGTGGAAGATAAGGGATACTTTGTTAAATATGTTTACTCAGGCCCATTGCAGCTCCAGTGCCCAGTCTCTGATGATAAGGGCCATTTTCTCATCTTGCTACAAGGAGGATCTCCTTCCCAGAGGAATCTTTATGGCTTGCTGCAGACACAAAGAGACGGGTCAGCTTGTCCTTTCCGAAACTACAATTTATCCAATATTTTCAACTCAAAATAATCGATACCCCAATCTGGCATATTTTGGAACGGCCCGTGCTTCACTCCTTCCTCCTCTGGCTTTTCAAAGAGGAAACACATTAGAGTCCGCCCCATGCAGGCCACTCAGGAAGGCAGCGTGAAAGCCGAGAAGGAAACACTGGCCCTTAGAAAGCAGGACTCAGTCAGGAAGCCTTCCATTGCAGTGTTTCCAGAGCCAAGTCGTGCTTGGGGTGACTGAAGACACCCGTGGGGAAAGCCCTTGCAAATGGAGAGAAGTTGGTGCTCTTGATCCTGTAAAACAGAGGCCTCCAGTGGGGGCCTCTGCCGAATGGAGAAAATTCCTGGGCTCTCCAGTTTCTCTGAGAGTCAGGGAGGCTCGAGACGCGGCTCCAATTCCTGTTTAAAGATCAGTAAGCCCAAGATACAGCATGAATTCCCAGGACCTTGGTGAGATCTGCCCTGGCTCCCTGCACAGCCTCAGCCAGCTTTCCTCTGAGAGCCCTGGGTCATTCACAGGGTCGGTGGCCACTGCCAGAGCTCATGCTGTGCAGGCTGCCGCCCCAGATGTAAGCCTCACAAGCCTCAGACCCTGTCCTTATCAGACCTCATAGTTGGGACTGCAGCAGACAGGCAATAAATAATAAGCTAAAAATAAGCGTGTCCTATGGTGTGTCTTAGGAAAGGGATGACTCCAGTGAGAAACCAAAGCAAGGAGGGCCCAGGGGCCTGGAGGACATCACGTGTGTGTATGGGGTTTTTAAAGCCCTCTCGTGTTGAAGTGGTTTCTCAGAGTTGCCTGTAGCACAGAAGCATATTGGAGCTTCTAGAATGTGGTGGATTCAATGAAGGGACTACAGGTGGTCCTAGTATATTTTCTGTTTTGTTTGGTTTTGCTTTGTTTTGCTTTGTTTTTTCATTTTTTCCTCAGTTGTAAACAGCCACCCTCTCCAAGGTGATCTATAGAGACAGACAGAGCGAGCGGGAGGGAGGTAGATGAAGGGAGAGAAAGAGGGAAGGAGGGAGAGAAGCAGTCTCATTAGCACAAACCTGGGTATGGTTAAAGGGGGTTTATTATGAGTAACAAAAGATGCTGCTTTCAGCCCAACAATCAGGAAATTCCACGGGTTTTAGGAGCTCTGTGCCAGGAACCCAGGATGAAGACCGTATATCTCTTTATATAAAATCACACACTGGAAACTTTAAAAGAGAACAGAAAATTATGGGGAGGGAAGGGTCACACATCCAATAGGGGCTCCAAATAGGCCACCTTTAGGGATTGCAGCTGAGACGTGCAGGCTAAGAAGCAAGGTTGGGTATAGGGATGAGGGGAGAGGAGGAGGGTCACTGGGCATGAGGGGCAGAGCAGAAACTGCACTCTGGCCTGAAAGCAGAGTGGCAGGCGAGGGCAGGGCAGGAAGCTGGGCACGCAAGGGCCATGCATCACCCTCCTGCTGCTGAAGCACAGCTGTGTCCCGGCTTCCTGGAGGCAGCATCTCCCATGGATGTACAGGAGAGATTTCCTAGGAGACCTGAGCAGGTGTTTTTCCTGAGGATGAGTCTGTATTCCTGTTTCCCTTTATTTGTTTGGTGCTTGGCTGCTGGGCAGATGAACCCCCAGAGCAAGATCCAAAGGTGCTCTTTGTACCATTTGGATCCCCACAGTTGGAGCAGAGCCCCCTGTTTTGCAAAGATGCTAAAGTATGTTCTCTTTGACTGTAGAAGTTTAGGAGCAAGATAGAGGCTGTCCCTCTGGGTGGACGCATGCTCCTGTACCAGAGGCTTGGCCACCACATCCCATCCTGCAACACACTTGGTGGCCAGAGACAAGGCCCCTCTCAGTGACACCGTGGGAGGCCCGTGTCCCCAGACATGACCACAGATGGCTGACCACACTGATCAATTCCAGAAGTTCTATCATTCTGCTCGCTATTGAAAGCTATAAGTGAAACCATGTATTTTGATGCCATTTGACAAAGCTACCCATTTTGATTTGTAGAAGCCACTCTGCTCTTAAAATGATGAGTGAGTCTTGGTCCTGATGCACGTTCTATGGCCGTTCTCTTGTGTCGACATTGAACCATATGAAATTGCCATTGACAGAGGTCAAAATGGCTGAACGTGGACGGTTTCATACAATTTAACCTCACATTCTATTTCATTTTTTCACTTATTATATTTCAACTTCACCCACTTATAATATATCCAGAAATCTTGCAAAATAAGAAAAATAACTTCTAAGTGAGGATCGATTATCGGGGTTTTAGTACTTGCTTCCAACTGATCTGTAAAGATGTCTGTGTGAGAGTAAACAGAAGTGTCTGTAAATGTTTGTTTAGAGACTGCGAACTGTTAACGCTATTGCCCGTGGTTCACTGACATCAGTGCCTCCCTGGCCAGCAGTGGCAGTAAGGACTGGCTATATTAAGGTGGATCACAGAGAAGCCCCAGGTCTTTGCTTCTGCCATGACATGTTTTGAGTTTTCATAAGAACCCGTATCAACAGCCCATTTTCAGAAAATCCAGAGCCATCGATTAGAGCGTGGAAAGGGAGAATTAAAGCTATGTTCGTATTTCTTCTCTTAACAAGATTACAAGTCAGATGTTGACTAGATCCGCAGTACATGTGCCGAGTATTTTCAGACACCTGTTTTGCTAAAATCACAGCGAGACAGCCTCTTTGTGCTGCGTGTGGCACAGAAGCATATTGTGTGCCGCATATCTGAACCTGGGGCTAAAACACTCCCAGTTCTAATGCAAAAAGTCTCCTGCTTTAAGGTGGACGTGAATCACCTGGAGGTCTTGTTAAAGTACAGATATGAATTATTTAGGTCTGCAGTAGGTGGACACTTTCTGACAGCCTTCTGGTCACCCTGGGGCGGGGGGCACAGGGACCACACTGTGAGCTGCAGGCCCTAGAGTCAGCCACCAGGGAGCAGCACCACTGGTACTCAGCCTGCAGAGGCCCTGCTTGTGATCAGCATTTTTTCACAAGCACATTGACAAACAAGAATGCATCTCTTCCCGTTCCAGTGTGGAGAACAGGCCCGGATTCGCAGCAGTGGAACTGCGGCTGCGCAATTACTACTATGACGTGGTGAACTAACCGCTCCCATACCTGTCGGTGGCTGTCTTTGATCACAAAAGCAATCACAGGAAAATGTATCCAGAGGAATCGATTGTCAGCCACCTCCCTCTGCCAGTTGGGAGAGCCAGCCTTGGATGGAACACGCCCGTGACGCGTCACCCAAAGCCTGTCCCAGGACTCACCCTCCACAAAGCACAGGCAGTGCTGGGAGAGAAGACGGATGGCAGGATCCCAGGGGCTAGATGGATTTGTTTGTTTTCTTGTCTGTGTGATTTTCATACAGGTTATTTTTACAATCTGTTTCCAAATCCCTTTCGTGTCTTTCCCCTTCTCTGGGTCCTGGAGTGCATTTGTTACTCATTGTGCCCAGGGGCATTGCAGAGTGGCCTAGAGCACTCACACCCCAAGCGGCCTTTTCCGAATGCCCAAGGATGCCTTAGCATGTGACTCCTGAAGGGAAGGCAAAGGCAGAGGAATTTGGCTGCTTCTACGGCATGGCTGTGACAGCCCATGAGACTGATCCCTGGTCACTGAAAAGCTTTCATGACAATAAAAGTGTTTTGAGGCTTTAAAAAGAAAATCAGGTTTGACCAGTGCAGTTTCTAAGCATGTAGCCAGTTAAGGAAAGAAAAAAAAAAAAAAAAAGCCTGGATACTGCTTTTACTGTCTCTGTTATGAGATGGAAGACTTACATGTTTGTGATAAAAGGGGGCCATTTGAATGAATTGGCTTGGCTGGCTTTCCCTCCGAAATCCTCTCTCCCGCAGACTGTCTTGAAGACCTGGTGACTGGTAAATAAAGCCCTGCATGGAGGCTGCAGAGCAGGGGCAAGAGGCCCAGCCCCCGGCGTCTCACTGAGGACAGCTTCGGGCTGCCTTCCCCTGAACATGGTCCACACCTTCCTCTCCTCCACAGAGAGGGTGCTGCCAGAATTCCCTGTTGCTTTCTGTGTCTGGAATGGGGGACAGTACAGGGATCAAAGCCACCTAAAGAGTTTCCAAAGGAAGTGTTCATTCATAACAAGCCAAAGACCCTGAGCCTCACCACAAATAGGCCTTTTGGAGTGTGAGTTTGAGGTGAAGATACAAGACCAGAGAATTATTTTCTGGTCTTAACTAATCCTTGACTTATGAAAGGAGTGGTTGGATGTGCCAGGTTTGGTAAAGTGGTGACCGCATCTGAGAAAGAGGCTGTGAGGCTGAACTCCTGGTGGCTTCCTTCTGTAACTTCCAGAGGGAGTCTTTAACACAAGCCCCGTGCTCATAGGAATATGGTGGCACCTACGTAGGAAGTGTGTGCAGTTTTCTGTCTTCTTTCTGTGTGATTTTTGGCCTCTTTCTCAGCACTTCTCCCCTCCCAGGAGCCTCGGGATGCCAAACATCCAGAATGTGATGGGGCAAGAGGGGGGCAGGGGCCTCACCTCCCTGCAGAGGTCCAGCCGGGTCTCCTTGTCCCTGGACAATCTCCTGAGCCTGTCCGCTTGGTGAAGCAGGCACCTGTGTGCAGAATTCCCACTGTGGCCAGCACAAGGAAGTCTTTTCTAGTGAAAATGTGTCCTGTGGTCAGGAATAATTATCCTTTCCCCTGCAGCCACTAAGAAGGGCAAATATCGAAAGGCAACTGAATTGAAGGATTGGTCATGTGAAAAGGGCTACATTTGGGAAGCTGGGAAAGGCCTCCAGGCTTCTAGAGCTTCCAGAGCAGCTAGCTTGGGGTGGATTCTCATACCCAGGCTGCCCCTTGGATTGTTCTACCCAAGCTTTTCCCTGGGGTCTGGGCTCACTCCATAAGGTAAGGTGCCTTTCACCTTATGGTGCTTCTTTAGCAGGGAACAAAGGAGCATCATGGACAGACTGCCCTAGAGGCATCACATTGGCTCCTGGGGCCGTGAATATCTTGTCCCCTAGCAGGGCTGAGTGTTTCTGTCACAGAAAACAGTGCGTTCAGTGGTGAAAATCATTGCATGCATGTTTTCATCTGAGCATGTCCTTCTCCCATACTCCCTATCACCCAGCCCTGCCTGTAGTTGCTGGATGGTGATTGCCCTTGGACATCAGTCCAATGACTGCAAGTTGGCCTGGATTTCCACTTGCAGAGGCAACAGCTGCATTGTCAGGCCTCCCAGCCCTGCAAAGAGCTCCCTCCACTGGTTAGCAGTGTGTCATGTTTTCCATTCATTTCAGAAGAGCTACATTGTGTCACTGGACATTTTTAAAAACTGTGATTTTTAATAAAAACCTAAATTTAGCTTTGTGGTGATTTTCATGGAAGTTATTAGGACATAGTAAGTCACACTGTCAAATAGTGTCAAGCAGCATTGTCAAAGGGTAGCTAAATGTTTTCTAAAACATTAAGTCCCTGCCATGTCCTAAAAAAGTGAATGTGTGGGTCAGGTGCAGTGGCTCACGCCTATAATCCCAACACTTTGGGAGGCCCAAACAGGAGGACCTCTTGAGCCCAGGAGTTTGAGACCAGCCTGGACAACACAGTAAGACTTTATCTCTGCAGAAATCAAAACATTAGCCAGGTGTGGTGGTATGCACCTGTAGTCCCAGCTACTTGGGAGGCTGGGGCAGGAGGACAGCTTGAGCCTGGGAGGTCGAGGCTGAAATGAGCTGTGATGGCACCACTGCACTCCAGTCTGGGTGACAGAGCAAGATCCTATCTCAAAAAAAAAAAAAAAAAAAAAAAGTGGATGTGCACAGGCCACTCAAAGTTGTCTGTGAGATTCTACCACACAGAAGGGGGAGGCCCATCAGGGAGGGGCCCTGTCCTTCCCTGCCTCTATCTTTTATTCATGAGCAGAGCATCTACCCAGCAAGGGCCTGACAGCCCATGGCCTGCCTAATAAAAGACAGACTGAGGAGACCCAGAATTCCCCCATCAGGGCAAAGCAAGGTTGTGGGTTTTGAGCTATTCCTTTCTCTATGAAGACAGCCTAAAGGAAACTGGGGTAGACAAAGACAGCCCCAATCTCTGCCTATTCTAAGGAGGTTACACACATGCACAGACATGTACACATACACATATACCTGCACACATGCATGCATGCACAAAAGGCATGCACACGTGTACATATGCATGCATGCATATATGTTAATGCATACATGTATATACACACATACATACACATGTGCATGGGCACAAACACACATGTGCACACATGCATCCACACACAAGCACATGCACAAATGTGCACATACAGTCACACGTGTGCACACATGTACATGTACACACACTTGTACCCACATGCACACATAAACATACACATGCAGAGACAGGCACACATGCATGCACATGCACACAAATATACAAAACATGCATGCACCACACAGTACCCATAGACATATAGCAAACACACATACCACATGCACCTTCACTGCACATACACACATTATGCCATACACACACACCACACAAGCACACACACACAAAACGCACACACCACTGCACATACTGAACCTTACTCCAAATAACCACTTAAAAATCCACATGAGGCAGTGATCCTGCAGTGGACGCACCCTCGTGTCTATATCCATCACCACCACCCTCTCTGGGGTCAAGCAGTAAGGGTCTCTCCCTCTCAATCTTCCATCCTAGCCTCCCCTGGGTCCCCTCTGCTCTTGCCAAGCCAAGTTAGGTTTGGAGGAAACAATGAATTTGGCTGGGCCAAGGCTCCCTGGGTCAGCTGGGAGATGGGAAGGACAGAGACTGCCCAATAACCCAGTGGCCTACAGGGGGCTGCTCCAAATACAGTGGGATGGTGAAGCACCCTGAAGTCAGAGAACACAGCACACAACAGACCACTGGGCTCCAGCCCTGACCTTGGGCACGTCCTATAAATTGAACCCCCGAGCACCACAATTTCAGCTGAGGGTGGCTGCGCTGACACATGCAAGTGCCAGCACAGTGGCCTTATTCTAAAAATGTCAGCAGATGCCGTGGTCTTGTGATCATGCCAGTGGTCAGTTGCTGGAAGGAATGCTGTGGGCAGCAGATAGCGTGGGCTCTGGGACGGCTCAGGAAATAAGCACTGGCCTTTGGCTTCAACCCCAGGGTGGGGAAAGCTTGTGATGATGTATCACTGCACTGCAGTGTGAGATGGCTTTACCACTAGCCTGAGCTGCAGCAGAGAGGCGGTTTAAGACCCCCGGGCTTGTCCTTCAGAGATGAGGAGGGGGCTTTAGAACTGGTTGATAAATATGTTCTCATTTCGGGGAGGAAGGGAACACTTTGAAAAGGGGAAGTTTTGGTTTTTGAATTATCTTTTAGATATCATATGGTCTTTCATTCTCTCTCTCTCAGATATACACACATATACACACACACACTCTCTCTCTCTCTCTTTCTCTCTCTCTCCGCCCCCCCCCCCACGCCTCTCTCTCTCTCTCTTTCTCTGGGACATATAGAATCAATCTTTCCTCCAAAGAAAAAGAAGAAATGATGAGAACATTTTGCTATAGAAGGGTGTGGACGGCAAGAGTCATCCAGGTACCAAGGCAAGAGACTGAAGGCACAAGCTGTTCCAGTATAATGAAGAAAATAATAAGAATAAGAATAGTTGTACTAGAAATAGAATATAGATATGATTATGTATTAATATTATTAATCATTAGTTTGTAGAATTACTCTTTGTTCTGTTATTCTAATAATCCCTATTCTAGAATTATAACCTAGGAAAAACCAGGTCGTATGGAGTTAGGAGCTGAAGAGACACGATGAGAAGTGACCAGAAGGCAAGAGTGTGAGCCCTCTGTCACACCCGGATCAGAGCAACTAGAGGGCTCCTAGGTCTAGTGGTAATGCCAGTGCCTGGGAAGGCACCCGTCACTTAGCAGAGCGGGAAAGGGAATCATCCCAGTGATGCTGTGCTTCAGCGCTCACACTCCGGGTCCACTTTCACGTTCCGTTCTGTACACCTGGCTCCGTCTTCTAGATAGCAGTAGCAGAATTAGTGAAAGTATTAAAGTTTTTGATCTTTCTGATAAGTGCTTAGAAGAAATGATGACGCATGACGTATGCTGTCCTCTCTGTCTCTGTCTCGGCTGCCATAAAGGGAAAGGCCCCCGTATGGTGGACACGTGACTTGCGTGACCTTATCAATCATTGGAGATGACTCAGACTCCTTGCCCTGCCCCCTTGCCTTGTATACAATAAGTAGCAGCATGGCCAGGCATTCAGGGCCACTACCAGTCTCAGCGTCTTGGCAGTAGTGGTCCCCCGACCCCAGCTATTTTTTCTTCTGTCTCTTTGTCTTATGTCTTTATTTCTACGATCTCTCGTCTCTGCACACGAAGAGAAAACCCACAGGCCCTGTAAGGCTGGACCCTATACCTGGCGCCCAGTGAGGATTTCTCTTTCATTGTGTGATGGCGCACTTCAAGCACGGAGCTCAGTGGAGGACATCAATGACAGATTCCTGAGAATTGTGGTCAATAAGCTTGGTGGTAAGCTTGGGCACTCAGAGTATCCTGGGCCACCATGGGACAGGCCAGTACTAAGTACTTGGCTTATTTAAACTTTATAAAAACTCTCCTTAAAGAAGGAGATGTAAAAGTTTCTACTGATAAGTTAATTGAATTGTTTGAGGTCGTAGATCTCCTTTGCCCTTGGTTTCCTACTGAGGGAACCTTAGAACTCAAAGAGTGGGATGAGACTGGTCGACAATTCAAAATTGCTCATAAAGGGAGGTGTATTATTCCTCCCACCATTTGGTCAGTCTGGGCTTCGGTTCGCTCTGTTCTGGATTCCTTGCAGACTCAGGAGAACAACCTGGAGACTGAGCCCTCTTCCCTCTCCTCTGAGGAGGTTGAGAAGTCCTCAGTTCTCTTTCTCCTGAGGATACTGCACAGATTGAGGACGTCGTTTTACAGACCGAACTCCATTCTGACATTCCTTTGGCCCCGCCGCCTACACCAGAGCCTACCGCGCCATTATCGCTTTATGATGAACTTTTACATGATTTAAATGATCTCATTTCCCCAAACTGGCAAAATCCAACCAAAATATATTATCAACAGCCGTTGCAACTGGACCCTCCTGTCTTTCCTCAGCCCTGCTGTAGGGCCCCCTACCTTCCATCTGCGTGGCCTGAAAATGAGGCTACACTGCCTGAAAAAGAGGCTCTGAACTACATTTCTATGCAGCCCGGTAATGAGGCTCTCAACTCTGTCTCTGCTCAGACCTGCTGCAGGGCCCTCAACCTTCCGTCTGTTCAGCCTGGTAATGAGGTTCTCAACTCTGTCCCTGTTCAGTCCTGCTGTAGGGTCCTCAACCTTCTGTCTGTTCAGCCTGGTAATGAGGCTCTCAACTCTGTCTCTGCTCAGCCCTGCTGCAGGGCCCTCATTTCCATCTATTTGACCTGGCAATGAGGCCTTCAAACCTATCCCTCCACAGCCTGGTTATCCATCTCTCACTTCTGTTTCTCCTTCAGCACATCAGGCTCCCTTGAAGCCTGTCCTGCAGTTAATGCAGCAACCTGGACCTCAGGCCCCTGAAAGACCTGCCCAGCAGGTCATCTCGCCTCAACCTGGCTTACGGGTTCTTGATTCTTCCTCTGTTCAAAACCCTAACTTCTTTCTCCTTCTGGTCCGGTCACTCATGCAGTTGCCACCACCACCATTGCCACTCATAAGCAACAAGTTACATACATCCCTCAAGATGACACTCCTCTTATGAGCCATCGCTCAGGTAAGAGAATATGGAGCTCCTGAGGCCTGGCAATTTCCTGGAATTTTACAGCCTCCTATACCTGCCACCCCTGCGGCACAAAATCAGCCACAGCCAGCTGACCCTGCTCAGCAGGCGACTGATCCCGTGGCTTCTCCAGATGTACAGCCTGAGAATCAGGTCCCTCAGCCTAAGAATCGGGCTCCTCAGGTGAATAATCAGCCCCCACAACTGCCTGCTGCTGTGGCGCAGCCAGCTCCAGGTATACCTCCAGTCCAGGCAACAGTCCGACCAGATCCTGTTCACACAGGCCAGGTTCAGCTATGCCCTGCTGCTTGGGAAAGTTTTTCTTTTAACTTCCTCAAAGATTTCAAAGAATGAGTGAAGCAGTACGGCACCAACTCCCCTTTTGTCCGTTCCATACTAAAGGCCCTAGCAGAAGGTAAACGTCTGGTGCCCTGTGACTGGAAAATTCTAGCAAAGTCAGTCTTATCTAAATCCCAATATTTACAATTCAGGACTTGGTGGGTTGATGCTGTCCAGGAACGCATTCGTCTTAATCAGTTCTCTAATCCTGTT